GAGAGAGAGAGAGATCACAAAGAGAACGAGAAGGAGTGGATGTTAACGGTGGAAGCGGGGGGGGGGGAGGATTGTGACCAAGAGGAGAAAGGAGGGACAAGCCAGGAAGAAGTCAACGTCCGAAGATTACGGCAATGACATTCACTTTTTCTCACTCTCCGCCTCGTGTTTCTCTCGTACTCTCCGGGTTTTTTTCTCTCTTTTCCGCCCTCTCCTTGTTTCTCTCGCGATTCGCCGGTGATTCCTGTCCTCATCTCTTTCGATCGTGCGAAAATGTTGGAATATACAGAATGAAGTACTTGAAAAGTTATCTTTCCACAATTGGGCATAACGGAAATTAAAATTCGTTATCGTTACACAAAAATAATGTTGATTTTGTTAGCTTTTCGTCATTTGCTATAGTAATATAAATATTTTAATCAATCTTCTCGGATTAATTCGGATTCGAGAAAACGTCAATAAATTTCCTTTCACAATATTTTGAAAAAACGTGGGAAAAGCTAGACATGACATTACAAATTGTCTTCTTGGAAACTATTAGGGATGATCATAAAAGAGTTTTTTATAAAATTTCTTGAAGTTGTCTAGAGAAGAGATGAACTTTTGCAAGCCGGTAATTCTTTCTAAAAATAAAATTTTACATTTTTTTCTTAGAAATCGATTTTCTTCATCATTTTGTATGCAAAAGTTTTAAGACGATACGACATATAGTTGATATTCATATAGTTTCACGATTTAAATTTATAAATCGTACTCGCGTGCGACGATTATTACTTATTATTTTTGTGATTATATTTCTTTTTTCCGCATCGTTGTCGTGTATCGTTATTTATTTTTGATTTCTGATTTTCTTTTCGTTTTGATTTACCTTTCAGCGAGATGGCTCACGTGAAAAGCCAGCGGGCATGTGAACCATTAAAAATCAGCGGGCAAGTCCGAGTTCGTGCTACCAGAAAAAAGTTTACACAGTAGAAAGAAAAAGAGAAAAAAAAGAGGAAACAAAAAGAAAAGCGAAAGAAAGAGGAGAAACAGTCACCATAGCGGCGTAAGGACGACGTACCCCGAGTAAAGGCGCTCGGTCTCGATCGCGTACCCCAAAAATAATGGGTTGAACTTTCGCGTGGCGTTCTCCACTTGTACGCAGGAAGAAAACTAAAATGGAAGCTCAACGAGCAACGAGCCGCTTCGACTTTCGCATTGACTCGCGTTCTTAACGAACGGTAATCGGGTTCTCTTCGGAAAAGTTCTCGCGCGTTTCGTTAGCCACAGAAAGAATTGGTGCTCAGTGACGTGAAGTGTTAAGTCCAACGATAGCAGTGATGACGTATTGAACTTTTGTAAAACGCGATAGTGCTGTCCATCGCTTTTGAAAATTATCCCCCCCCCCCTCCGTCCATCGACCGCGCCCACATTCTTCGTTCGTTCGATCCGTAATCGAGTGTATCGTCGATCTTCATCATCCGTGGATCCTGCCCGTTACTTATACATTCTCGGAGGAAATCTCGCGTGCGTAATCTTCCATTCGCAACTTTATCGCGCTCGTCGCATCGTATTCGTCGCGCGGCCATTACGGCCGTGGACGAATTAAATCTTATTAAGCGGCGGTGTAAATGCAAATGGAAGAAACGCGAAGCCGGGGAAGAGAAGCCCCGGCTCGCGAGATAGACGGAGAGGCGTAATACCTGCCGAGGAAACGAGGAAACGTTACTCGCGGTTCAAGGACCCCGCGAAGTTGCGAGAAAGACGAGCAGCGACAACGACTGCAAACTCGAGCGGGGGGAGACGCGTTCGCTGTACTCAACGAAATCGATTACCGACAATAAAACGTTCCGTTAAGAGGGAAGATATCATTTCTCCGAAGGTGCCTGATGAAATGCTAAATAAATCGCCGAGATACGGGACATCCTTTCGCGGCGAACTTGCCTCGCTAATGATGCTCGACGTGTCCTGCGAGTTATGTTGCTTCAACTTACGCGGCCTGTCGACGAAAAAGAATCGCACTTCAATAGGAACGTCTTACACGCGATACCCAACAGATGCCATCCACCTATCGAAATAACATTACACCGGTTTGCGTAACAAGTAACGAAGGAAAATTTAACCGAACGAAGTTTGATGAACAAGTTTCGACGTACATCGAGCGGAGTATATCAAGCGCTGAATAGTTAAACGAGCTTATGAAACCATAGCCATCTTATTATTATCAAGAAAGTTCAGCCGATACTTAACTCCGTTATCGGGACTGTGGCGGTGATTCAGAAGACCCTCGAAGATTCGAGAGAGGTGATGAGAAATTGTCCAAGGATCGAGGAGACGTCGGTGGGCTGACAGGGATCAGCCCTCGAAGCTCGAGATCGCATGGTCGGGATCCTCGCGCAGATTTCCGAAGACTCAAAATAGAGTGACGTCACGTTCTCCTCTTCGTTCTCTTCGGTAAAGCTGCGAGAGTGTCCGTTCGTGGATCCGGATTCCCCAGTTACCGTCGGAACCGTCGTCGGACTCGAGGAATTGAGAGGCGCGCGCGAATGCTGAATGCCGCAGGCGGTAGCATCGCCATCAAGCGCGACGTGCACCAAGCTGTTCGCCGTCGGCACCGCCGACGCCGTGATCGTCGCTCGTACGTACGTTCGATGCCCGTACAATGGACGTTTTCAAACTCGATCAGTCGCTGAGCGCGGGTTTGGGCAGCGCCCCGGCGCCGGATACCCTCACGCCGGAAGTGTCGTTCGACGCCGGCAGTGAGTTCAATCTGAGCTTCTTCGACGGCCCGGAGGAGAACAACAGCACCCAGGGTTTCAGCGACCCCGGTTCCGTGGGTAGCGCCAGCGCCTCGCCGCCCCCCGGTACACCCGGTGGTGGCGCCGTACCCCCGGTCGCCGCCGCGACCGTCGCCACCGCCGCCGCCACCGGTGCAGCCTCCGCCTCCGTCGGTGTTAATAATCCGAACGCGCCACCGCTGCCGATCGTCCAGGTGCCCACCGCCGGCATCGTCATTAAGCAAGGTTTGTTTCATTTTTTTTTCTTACACCGCGCGATCGTAAGTCCTCCGATTTTCGGCACTCTTTTGTTTCGACTCTTTCGTTTATTCGATATGACGAGAGGTTTATATTTGCTGGCGTTGATAACGACGACTATGCGATGAACTATTATTGCAATCGCATTAATTATTAATAGTGTTTCTTAATATAATAGAAAGATTATTGCCTTATGTTTGCTAAATAGTTTAATTACATTATGTGAAAAAAAAATTGTCAAAAGAGTAAAAAAGTAAAAGTTTAATATGATCAAATTGTTTTGACTCCAACACGTGCTTAATTGAACTAAAAACGAATTAAAAAGAGGGAATATACGCGTTAAGCGGATGCTGGATATATGTTGTCCATTGAGATCGAATACAGCAATGAATATATTAAAAGAGTAATTAGCGAAGAGAATGAGAATAAACTTTTCTAACAAAAAAGCATAAAGTACAAAAAACAAGTATAAGTATCACAAACAAATGCAAATTCTTTTATTATTTTATACGCATTAATATATTGTTGAATAAATCAAAAATGAAAAAGTAAAGCACAATTAAGTGAAATAATTGCAATCATTAATAATTTTTAATAATTTTCCGATATATAAATTAATACAATTTCAGACAAATTTTATAAACCATACTTATTTGTAATTTTAATACTCGGTCATTAAATGAATTTAAAATATTCGAAATACTCATTATATTTGAATAATTTTGTATTTCTGTTTACAAATAATTTTAGCAATTAATTAACATCTCATTTTATCGAAGGACCATTATAGTCTCTCTCCTTTATACATAACATATTTTAAATGTATTTCAAATATATATATTTTAATTAACTTTCAAAAAAAGGGATAAACAAATTAAAAAAATTTATTGAAAGAGAGAAATTTTCGAAATTACTGTATACTATATACTGTATACTATATATTAATTATATCAATTTTGATTATTATTAATTTTATAAATAAATTCCCATTTTTACGCGTGCTAAAGATAACGATAAAACAGAACGTATCAACTAGTTAATCAATCGTTATTTTCGCGATTCATTCGGGCATGAATTGGGACTTCGATGAAAGTGATAGAAATTAAAAAAGAAGCGATTACAATTTGTCGCAATAATTCTTTAAAGACATCGTGAAAGAAGGTACGTCTCTTAACGTAACTTTGATAGTTCGCCGTTTTATATGGGAACGTCTATTTATAACTCGACCGCGCGTTATACGCTCAGTGTGTCTATGTTTTAACGTTGTTTTACATCCTGAGCACACGTATAGCGCTTCTCGTAAAGGTTAGAATACAAATTGAAAAGGTCGCACCCATAATGCGATACTCTCAGATCCCTCACGATCACCAGAAGCGTTCGTTGTCGTCGCCATTGATAGAGTTACTCTCGGCAACGGATTTAACTTCTGATCTATGAATTAATAATGAAATAATTTTGTCGAATCATTCTCCCGTGCTCATGAGTCAATCGCTCACAACGTTTCTCTCATGTGAAAAGTCAAACACTGACATTTCACTCGAATTGCGAGCGATATCGTTCTCGTTTTCGTCCGATCCTAAATTTCTTCCTCGTTCGTTTATTTAAGGAGAAGCGATTTTGTGAAATAATTATACTACTTAGCGGATTCGATATCTTTGACATCATCGAATTTCAATAATCTAATTCGCAATCATAAATTACTTCTGAAAATTAACTGTTATGTTGATAAAGGATTAATTCAAATATGTAAGACTGAGCTAGGTTTCCTTTATGAAAGTGAATTTTTTCGTACACTTTTGTAAAGCTTTTCGGCAAAATTACTTGGATTTTTCGGAGAAGCGATCCCGAAAGGGGATTCCAAAAAGAGACCATGTTAGAGATCGTCGATTATATTATACATTCGCTAGTGTGACCATCCAATGGCGATCTGATGGCAGCTAACGAAAATCCAACTTTGAATTTCAATCTCGAGGCGGTCAAGGTCCATCGAGAGTAATTCAATACAGAAGCGCGGATCTCGCGGGGATAAAAAGTGATGTACGCGTTGGTTATCGCCTCTCGAGGCGCGAAACTGCAAGTAAAGAGCAAACCTGGCATACAATCGACATATTTCACGACACTTCTCTCGTATAACTGGCGCGAGATGAATTAATTTCATCTGTGCATCACTGAAATTCGGTTATGATTCTGATTATAAAAGAGATTTTTACGAATTAAATCTTAAATTAAATCACAGACGTAATAATAATAATAATAATAATAATAATAATAATAAGAGATAATAAAGTTTTTATCCGTAATCTAATTATATTTTAATTTATTTTAATGCGAGACTGATTTATTTAATGTCGTAATGCTGATAATTAAGAAAAAAAAGAATAAATAACTCCTGATTTAATGTTTGTTAAAGAAGAAGGATTCCTAACAATATGACGATAAATCTATCGCTGAAAAGAAGCGGTTATTTGATACACAGCGTGTATACCTATGTATTTGTATATCTATATTAAGGATATGTATTGTAAACGAAACCCAAGAAGAGAGATTCGAAGGGAAGGAAACTTGTTAGTAAGGTGCATAGAATACGCCCGGAAAGTTCCGATGAGTTAACTGGTGAATTACGGAAGTTGTTTCAATATTTAGCCGCAGTATCGCCGAGTTTCGACGTACAAAACTTGGGTGGATCGAAAAGTCGTGCGCAAGCTTCATGATTTCTATGATGTGACTATAATTCCATTGAACTCGCAGCGTTCTATTTTATCCCGTATGTTCGAATACTTTACTTACTTTAATACGCAAACTTTAATGACTAATTAAATCATCTTAATACTTCGTCGAAAATTAATTAATTATCAAAAGAATTCGTCGTACTTGGTATCATAAATATAGAAAAGAAAGGTAATAATTTATTGACAAGTCGGGATAATTAAATAACTTACTCGTAACTTTTCGGCAAATACCGCTCGAGAGTGCTTTTCAGATGCAGTCGGATGTTGTGACCACAGTGCAAATAAAGGGTTCCTTCGACAGTGAAAAAAAAGAAAAAAATCGAAGCACATTGACACTTCTTTCTTTTCCTCGCGGCGACGTCGACGCCGGCCGACGACGGAGTCGGGCTGCGAGTCACGATTTTATCGATCACACGAATCGTAAAAGCCAAGAATGCCGTATTCCCGCGTACGACTTTCTTACACGGAATGCAGCTTACTCGCGACTCGGAGTGTCCTCCTCCATGAGGAAGAGGAATCCAGAATATCTCGGAAAAAACAACGCGATTATGAGCCGTACGTCCGCTAATTGGTTACGATCGAATCCCTTATGAGCGCGGATTTAAACGGAGAAAATATTCCAACGACTGTTCCGCGTTGCAGCACGCTCCGATTGCTAGTCATAATATGTTCGGTTTCATTTCGGCCACTTGTATTGTCGATTAAAGTAAGTACGCGGTATACGCCGTTCCGTACCTTCGAAAGTAACTTGCACATGTGTCTGTAACTTCGAGCGGAAACGACTCAAAAATGCTGCCGTTTGCGCAACGAAGGAACGTGGTAATTCTTATAAATTTGACGCGCTTTACGGCAAGAAATAGTCGATATCTGATTGTATCGTTAATCGTAACACAACTTGTACAATTATATTTTTTTTAGACACCCTTCACTTATGAACCGCAACCAGGGTCTTTTCTCGTCCAGACAGCCGTATCCCGATTCAAATCGGCCGATTCTCGTGTTGCAAATTATATATCTGTTTGTCAAGAATAACTGTTATTTATCGAGTATGAATTAATTTTAATTTTATTATGAAAAATTATATCTATCTTTGATTAATGTGGCAATAAGGAGAAACGGAAAACGGTGGACGTGCAATTTTCTTGAGAGAAACGATTCCATTCGGTTCGGAGGTGGTTTTAGGGAATCGCGGATCGAACGATCGTGCGCGAAAACGATCGATGACGATGATCGCGACCGAGAGTCATTGACGTTCTCGCGTGTCACGTAAATCGCCTTCCTGGAACGAAGGCCACGAGAAAGTTCGTGCCGCTGCTGGTTCAGTGCCACGGTCACGCTACGTGCGTGGCATCGATAGCGACGAAAGTAAACTAAATCCGAAAGATTACGCAACGCCCGTTTTAAAAGTCACCCGACGTGCCGTTGCCTCCTCTCTCGTTCGTTTCTTTTTTCCTCTTTCTCCGCTCTCCCATTCATCACTGATCCCTGGCTATTCTCTCGGGCCGAATGCACTGGTTGTGAAACTTGTGTGTTGGAACGTCGCGACTCTTTCGACGGGGTATGCATATAGAAACGAAACTTATGCTTATTTCTTTATTTCGATATATCGATATTACGAAGGCAATTTTATCTCGTTCTTTCTTTCATTTATATCTTTTTTTTATATCTTCATTAAATTTCACTATATATATTCTTTCAGATCAAACTGAAATTATTACTTTTACGCTTCTAATCTGACATTAAAGTGATAAGAGGAATTGGATTGAATTTTTTTCAAATATATGCGAAAGATTCTTCTAATTTTAGTGTTCAATTTGAAAAAAATGGATTTTTTTGTGATTAATAAAATGTAGAAAGCTGTCATCGGTTTTGTGTCGGTAGGATGTCGTGTTAGGATACTCATTTTTCTGTTTTTTTTTTTTTTTTACTATACACTTTGAAAATTCAAGATTCTATCTTCATACATACTGTGACTATGTTTAACGTGCGCGCGAAGAGAGGAAACTAACTAGAGAAAGAAAGAAAATGCAGGTATTAATGCGAAGAAATATTCCGTGCACCGGCAAAAAGTAACGCGGTATTCCATTATCCTCGTCGGCACACGATGCAAAACCGGTCGAAATGATTGGATTTTTATCTCCGGT